GAGGCAAAATCCTAAAATAGTTGTGCGTACACTTCCCCACCGAACCTTTACCGGGCCTGGGCACTGTAGATTTGGGCCCGGTACTTTTCCCCACAGATTTGGGCCAGGGGCACTGTAGATTTGGGCCTAGCACTTGATGCCACGAAAAATGAACAGTGCAGGGGCCGTTGGAGGGTTGGTTTAACCAGCGCGTCCCTGTCGCCACGGACAGCTGGCCGGGGTACTGGACGGCTTAACGGATGTTCCAAGGATCAATGCACAGGCTTTCAGAGAGGTAGAATCAGGGCATATTCACACGAGCACTTTCCTAAATGTAGCGATTTCCTAAATGTATATCTCACTAAAATCGTCGTGGCCAGACTTGGATGAATCTGACCACAATCGCGTCTAAAAGCTGAGTAGAAGAAAGTTCTACTGTGAGTATGGCCTCGGTATCCAGAACCATATCGAATGACTTTTCGTGGCCAGAAAAGAGACAAAGAAGCATCGGTTGCACCGAGCACAGAGACAGAAAGGTGCAGTGAATCAGTCTCGCAGAGTGGACCGCATACATACCCCAGTACCGGAGCCTGAACGTCAACGGCATCATAACGGACAAAACCCTGGCCTGCAGAATCCCAGACCTGGTAAGACAGGCAAATGAGGAAGGCAATGAGCAAAGAGCAGAAGAAAGCGCAAGAGTCACGCGACCGACATTTAATAAAATTAATCTTTTTTTTTTTTTTTTACCTTAAAAAAGCAACTTCGACAAGGTTTTCAAAAGTTTTTTTTTTTTCAAAAGAATTGTCAAATTTGAAATTTATTATTTTTTTGAATAGTTTTCTCCTTATTCAGTGGCATGTACCCTATAGGTAGGTACTAGCCTACTACTAGGTACGTAACGACTCGTGGGCAAAACACTGTCACGGTATGAGGATAGATTCGAGAATTACACCCACAACTTAGTTAATTCCAGGCAAATAAAATAAAATCTCGTGCTATTTATGCCAATTTCATGGTGAAGAATTTCCTTTCGTGTTACTTCATGGTGAAAATAACTTTATTGACGGGAGGGAAGGGGTCCCTAACCCCTTACTAGAGACTTCCCTAACCCCTTCCCCCCAAACGCCTTAGCAATAATTGAGAAAAAAAAAGAAAATAGGTGCGTAAAATCACTAAAATAGTAAAATGTGCTAGAATTTCCAATATTCCTACATACATATGGCAAAAAAAGATCGCCCATCGAACAGACCAATGACAAAAGAACATCCAACCAATAAGTCCAAAATCGGCTGCTCAATGTATATGACAGAGAGAAAGGTAATGCACTATGGAGTCTCGCAATCGGGAGCCCATTGTCTTGACCCAAACATAACGCTGGCCGTCGTATTTGTTTACAACACCCGGGCCTTATATTCAGTATATTGGTAGCAACTTCGCTGAGACCCGCACCCCACAACCGAAAAAAAAAAAAAAAAAAAAAAAAAAAAAAACTGTGTACTTAGGAAACACAATAAATGTCCTTCGGGACATCCGTTAAAATTGGAACGATACAGAGAAGACTGATTAGCATGGACCCTGCGCAAGGATGACACGCATAAATCGAGAAATGGTCCAAATTATTTAAAAAAAAAAAAAAAAAAAANACAATATATTGTGTGGAATTGCCATGCAAACATGGCCTGTGTGTTAAAAAAAAAAAAAAAGGAAACACACTATATAGTGTGGAATTGCAATGCAAACATCTTTGGGCTGACGATCACTTTACAAATCCTTACTAATTCGAAGATTAAAAAAAAAAAAACGCAAATAGAAAAATCAACTAGACTTTCTGACTTTGTAGTCAGGAGGACTGGAGACCAGCAGAATGAGAGACTGCCAGGAAGTCCCCCCCTCCACCCCACCCCCTGTGTGGCGCTGGGCACTGCTAGCAAGCTTCCAGGCCAGCAGAAGTGCCCCCAAGGAGGCCATGGCTTGGGGGGTCGGTCGGTCCGTAGCAGTCCCCTCCTTAAACAGGCGACTACGGGTAGTACAGCAAGGGCAACGCTGACCACCTTTTTCTATTATCTTTCCTTCTTGTACTCATGCTCGCCGGTGATAAGCAACCGGACTGACGCCCCCCAGAATAGAAGGGGCTTTGCATTTGTTGGGGAATTTAAAATAATAAAAAACAACAACATAAAGAACACCCCTTTGAAGTTGAAACCCCTTTCAACCCCCTTATAAACCCCATCTATAGCCCCATTCACCCCCTCCCCCCCCGTGGCCTCTTCCCCTCTCCCCTACAAGGCACTCAATGCCACATTCAAATATAATGCCAGGCTATTCTTTTGCAATCAGAGTCGCTTTCTTCTTCACTTCGCATACATGCAAACAGATGGCAATTCACAATGGCGCCAAGCGCCCACTCAAAGCTCAGAGAGATGGAAAACGAGAACACAGTTCAGATGCAAACTTGCTGCAACAGGCTATGGCACATCAGCGCCTGTACATCCCAACTCTCGTCGCTGTGTCCAACACCACTGTTCGCACACACTCAACTCTGGATCACCCTGAATACCCCACACACACTCACTGTATCACACACACGTACATACACACACTAACACTTCACGCTAGCTATGGCAGCTATGGCTGCAAGCTACTACTAACTATGGTGCACTAACTTCTACAAGCCCACTTCGACCTCGGGCATCTGTAGACCACCTCGCACAAGACGCTAGGGCAGCGCTTCCGCATGGCTCACGCAGGAATGAATGAATGGCTGGACGCTGCCTCTTGATTCATACTTCTGTAAGTCGCTGGTCTGCCCTTTTCCACCAGGCCCATGGTGCACACAGTCCCTCATGGTACTTGCTGACTGTACAAAGTGAGACCGGGACTGGGTACCGCTGACTAAGCAAAGTTGGACCTACCACTTGCCCACTTGCCTCTGGTCTGCTGTGTATAACGTGAGAAGAAACTTGAAAGGCCATTTCTGGACCTTCCGGAAGTTTGCGGACTTGGCCTTTCAGGACTGTAGCAACTACGACCTTGACCTTTCAAGACTGTAGCAGGTACGACCTTGACCTTTCAGACCTGCAACAACTATGACCCCTATGCAGATATGACCCCTACTTCGACAGGTCTAAGGTTCAAGACCCGACAACTACTCAKACCTACGACAGACAACTTTCAACTACTACACACAGGTCACGGGTTCAAGACACAGGGTCGACTTGATACTGTACACAGGGAAGGTAAGGTAAGGTCAGGTCTGGGGATCGAGCCCTGGGATCCACATCTGTGACTGCAAAAGGTGAAAACCGTTTCACTCCCACCGGCCTACATTCGAGGTCCTCTGAGAATATTTCAGTTCAAGGCTGGACCTTTTGCTTTCTTATCTCTTTGGATGCTCGGACTACTTCGGGAGCTGTCTCTAGAAGTTCTGTTCATGTAAACCAGCGGTCGTCCTCTGGTTCCTGAAAAGCGAACCTGACCTTATACTGTTTCTGTGGACAACCCCTACCTCCTGTTCTGAAGACATCTTCATATACGATGCCGTCAATGTCGTACCTTCCGTCCATGTACGGAGGGATCATGGGCCTCCGTGATGGAAACTGTTGACTTGTGATACAAGGCAGCAACTTTGACGCATGAAACACCGGGTAGGTGTGGAGGTGCACTGGAATTTCGACTGTGTAGGACGGTCCATCCTCTCCGCCCTTGACTTCTAAGACTGGCCACGGTCCCCGGTATGCAGGTAGTAACTTTTGCGAGATGTTCTCCTCAGGAGCAAACTCTTTGGACTTAACCCAGACTAAGTCGCCTACTTGAAACTGTGATGGGCGACGGTGCTTATTGGCTTGCTCTATCATCCTATGCTGGGCCTTCCTGAGGTTCTTTGTAACGGTAGCAATCTCCTTTTCATAGTGTAGTGCAAACTCCCTAGTACCGGGCGGTAGCCTTTGAATCTGATCCCGGTTCAGTCCCTCAAAAGGGCTACGCGGTCTGAAGGACTTATGTAACTCGTTGGGAGTGCGACACGTCGCTAAGTGCACGCTGTTATTGTATGCGTTGGCTACCTTGGGAAGCATCTCATCCCAGTTAAGCTGATCAGGTCTAATATACATTCCGAGAACTTGCTGCAGGTTTTTGTTCATCTGTTCAGTTTGACCGTTAGTCTTAGGATGACAGCCAGATGACATTAACAACCTAGACCCATAGACTCTCATCAATTCCTGCCAGTTCTGACTAGTGAACCTGGTATCTCTGTCACTAACTATTGACAGCGGGAGACCATGTTCACTGACCCAATGATCAAAGAACTTGTCTATAACTAAATCTGTTCGTGCTCTGCGGGTAAAGGAACAAAAAGTGCATATTTACTAAATCTATCGACTACAACCATGACTTGACCCTTGCCATGCCTACTCCATAAAGTCAATGGACACAGAATCTCCGGGTCCTGTGGGAATAGGCAAGGATCTGAGAAGACCAAGAGGGGCCCGCGTAGTGGTCTTATTCCGTTGGCAGACTTTGCAACTGCATACATACTCTATACAGTCGGCTTTCATACCTGGCCATGTATACGCGCGTATGAGGTTGGCTAATATCTTTTGCCAACCAAAATGTCCCTCTGTGTCGTGACATTCCCCTAAGATCAAACTACGGATCTCTTCACTATCGGGAACGCACAAACGGTCAAGTACGTTAGTATTCTCAAATAGTAACCCGTCTGTAGTGCGGTAATCTGGCTCAGACTCTGGAGACTCCTTAACTCTCTTAAGGAGATCACTATAAATAGGGTCCTGCGCATAGGCTTCCTTAACTTTCTGTTGCAGGTCTCTCCCTATGTCCAGATAGTGAGCTATCGCTCCAAAGTAATCAGCTCTTCTACTTAGAGCGTCAGCGACTACATTATACTTCCCTTTAACCGGCTTGAGCTCAAAGACAAACTGATCTATCTCTACGGCCCACCTAGTAAGCTTAGGTGTCATCTTGGCCTGCATCTTCAGCCACCTCAATGTCTCGTGGTCTGAATACACTTTGAAGTGCCTCCCAAGCAAGTAATGCTTCTAGTGGTCTAGTGCTTGCCTGACATAGTAGAGTTCCCTCTCATAGGTAGATGTCGCTACCTTCTCTGACGGCATCCTAACAAACATGAACTCTACGGGTCTATAGCCATTGCCATCATCTTGCTGTAGCACAGCACCTATACCATACTGGCTTCCGTCAGTGGTGACGACAAAAGGCAAAGACGGATCGGCTACCTTGAGGACTGGATACTCTATCAAGGCCCTTTTTAACTTCTTTAGGGACGACATACAGTCTCTATCCCACTCCCAGATTGCTTCTTTCTTTAACAACCTGCGAAGGGGTGCAGCGATATGGAGAAGTTCCTCATGAACTTCCTGTAATAGTTAGCTAGGCCTAAGAACGACCGCAATTCCGTCAATGTGCGGGGCGTTGGCCAATCTTTGATCGCTGCTATCTTACTGTCCTCCATCCTCTCCGCCTTTCCAGCTCTTCCTCCAACTTGTTTTTCTTCGCGGCCTCTTCCTCCTGCTCCTTCGTGTAGGGAGTGGTATTAGCACCACCCCTCGTGTTAACTCTACATGTGAAGGCATTCCAGAAGCCTAGCGGAAAAAGAAGACGCCAGAGGGTCCCCCTGAGGGAGAACCCCACGAGCAAGCCATACATGGGGTAATCATCCATGGTGTTGGGTGCACGACAATAATTGTCCCACTCCTCACCACTTAGACCTACCCACTGACTGTCTGACTCTCTAAGGACTACAGGATCCGAGTAGGACCCTGTCAACTATGGTCTCTAGCCTAGACCTATTACTAAGTTGTCACTACAGGACTCAATGCTAATCAGGAGGCATTTAAGGAGATCCCCCCCTCCTCAGGAATTATTTAACGTCGCAGACAGGACGACGCGATCAGCAAGTCCTCTCAAGACTTAGACAGCTTGTTGTGCAGCCCACAGCTCGGATTTTGGGCCTACCATGCCACACTGAGCAGCCCGCCGGTCTGTACCAATCCTTGGGAGGGTTTGTCCTCCGGGTCAGTTAGTCGTCAGACACGGCCTTTAGCCCTACTCAGCCCGTGTGGGTTTGGTCAACAAAGCTCTACAACCTCATACACAGAGTTCCTATCACCTCGACAGAAGAGACTCAATGCAGAAAGAAGAGACAGACAGACGTTACCATGGGGTGAGTGCACTTCCATAGGGCGAGGGGATAGGGTGAAGGCTTGGCGAGAATATACCGACTCCAGCTTGGTCAATTTTGTGATCAACAGCTCCGATCAATGCCTTGGTCAACGCTTGGTCAACACTGGTCAACCCCTCAGTCAACCCCCAGTCAACTCTCGATCAACTCTCGATCAACACCTTGGTCAACCCTGGTCAACTCCTCGGTCAACTCCCCGGTCAACGCCTTGGTCAACGTCCAACTCGGCTATGGCTGCTGACCCCTTGTCTCCCTTCAACCTTCACTTCGCCTTCTCCCTCCTTCCTTCTTTCTCACTTTCTTCTCCTTCACCCCGGCTACGTCTTTCTTTTCCCTTCTTCGTCTCTCCCTTCTCCTTCCTCGGTTACGGTTTCTTTCTCCTTCGTCTCTTCCTTCTCCTCTACTTCATCTTCTTTCTCCCTTGTAACCCTGTGTCCGAGCTTCGGCGGTTATGGCCGCCACCTCCTGTCTTGGACCGCACAAC